TTATTATTATTGTTGTTATTATTATTATTATTTGAATTATCCCTCTAAACTAAAGTCCTCAAGAAATCAAGTTGGTAAAACCCTACGAATCCTCCAAACTTGTTTCAAATTCTTGATTGAGCTCCTAAACTTTCATTTGAATAAATAATCTCTTGAATTTTGTGATTTGGGCAATTTAACCTCTTTTTTTTTTTTTATGGCAAACTTAATATCTGTTTGTGCATCATTTGTGTGAATAAGACATTGACATGTCATTGCCTACATAGTGAATATTGATTTTATCTACGTAAATAAAGCACAAATGAATATTCAATTTACTATAAAAAAAGGGTTAAATTACTTAGATTAATAAGTTTAAGAACTTATTTATTAAAGTTTAGAATTTTAATAAAAAATTTGAGATAAATTCCAAGGTTTGACTTAAGATTTTGCTAATCAAGTTCTCATTGAAGGTTTAACCCAACTTAACCCATTTCATTAGTCCAAAGGAAGGTGGTATAATTGAATTCAACCCACTGGGCTGGAGTCATATGGATCTAACCCAATCCAATCAAATGGACCTAACCAATCCCACCCAAACCATGATAAATTGCAAGTACACAACCTACAAAATTTAAATGTCGAGACTGAATAAGTAAAGAGTACATATTTGAGGATCACAATGAAAATTAGTAGACTAAAGAATCGCGAATCTATCTCTAACCAAGTTACCATCTTATCTAAAAATCTAATTCCCACATTTTAGGCAACAATCTCAAAATATTCTTCTTGCCTAATCGATTAACTAAAATTTGTTGAGATATTTTTCATCAAAAAAATTTTTTTGTTGAGATATTTAAGAGATATCTTCAATTGGATAATGATAATTTTTTTTTTTTTGTTGGGATAATGCTCTTTGAAGTATAAATATATACACACGCACTACGTCTAGTCTCATCTACTCTTCGCTTTCCCTTTTATCTTATTCATATCTTACCCTTTACATCAATCTCTCCGTTTGAAAAGATGGCCGGCGGAGGTATCACCACCCGGGGCAAAGACTACCCCGGTAACCTCACTTTCAATGTTTTCATGACATGCATTGTTGCCGCCTCCGGTGGTTTAATCTTCGGTTATGATCTCGGCATCTCAGGTACATGATTGAATCTTTTTTTTTTCTTTACTGGAAGGTTATGAGAGTGAGCATGACTAATTGATATGAAATTTATAAGTAATTTTTTGATGAATTCTCTCATATTAAGGAAATCAAAATTGTCTTAGTAGACTGTTGCTGCACTGTCGTTAATTTCTTAATGGTTCTGGTTTTTAGGTGGAGTTACGTCCATGGATTCATTCTTGAAAGAGTTCTTCCCTTCCGTTTACAAGAAGGAATCATCAGTGAAACCATCGGACGATCAATACTGCAAGTTCGACAGCCAGATACTGACCCTGTTCACATCGTCATTGTATTTGGCAGCTCTTGCTTCTTCTGTAGTCTCATCTTCCATAACAAGAAAGTGTGGAAGGAGGGTCACAATGATGTTCGGAGGACTACTCTTCGGCGCCGGTGCGCTTCTTAACGCCTTTTCCAAAGCCGTCTGGATGCTTATCATCGGTCGGATGTTACTCGGCTTTGGTATTGGTTGCGCTAATCAGGTTCACTTTTCTTTTAAAATGTATTCTTCAATCAATTTAGGATAATAGAACCTTCTCCATTATTAACTTATTTTGATCTATTCCATTGTTTCAGTCTGTTCCGATCTATGTATCGGAGATGGCACCGTTCAGATACAGAGGTGCCCTGAACATGATGTTTCAATTGTCGATCACTATCGGCATCCTCGCCGCCAATCTCTTGAACTATTACTTTTCACAGATTAAAGGCGGTTGGGGCTGGCGTTTAAGTTTGGGTGGAGCCTTCGTCCCTGCCGCAATTATCTTCTTGGGTTCATTTCTTCTCTCCGATACACCCAACTCCTTGATCGAACGCGACCGCCTTGACGAAGCCAAGGTTTTGCTGAAGAAGGTACGCGGTGTTCCCAACGTCGACGAAGAGTTCAATGACTTGGTAGCGGCCAGTGAAGCATCGAAGCAGGTTAAACACCCTTGGGCAACTCTCTTTTCCAGGAAATACAGGCCCCAACTCACATTTGCCTTCGCCATCCCCGGATTCCAGCAGCTAACCGGAATGAACGTGTTCGTCTTCTACTGTCCAGTCCTGTTCAAGAGCATGGGGTTTGGCAACAACGCCGCCCTCTTGTCCTCCGTGATCACCAGCATCGTCAATGCAGTTGCAACCCTGGTTTCCATAATGACAGTTGATAAGATTGGACGAAGGAAACTCTTCATTGAAGGCGGAATTCAAATGTTTACTTGTCAGGTATATACCATACCTATATATTTTTTAGAAGGTTTTTTCATCCTTTGTCATTTAAAAAAAAAAAAATTTCCTTATTTAACTGATGTGGGTTGACCACAATTTGTGGAAATTAGGTTATCATTACTGCTGCAATCGCGTGGAAATTTGGTGTAAGCGGTAACCCTGGTGTTCTACCCAAGTGGTTCGCAACATTAATGGTGGTTGCCATGTGTGTATACATAGCCGGTTTTGCGTGGTCATGGGGTCCATTGGGGTGGCTGATTCCCAGTGAAATCTTCCCCTTGGAGGTCCGTTCTGCTGCACAGAGCATCAATGTTTCCGTGAACATGATCTTCACTGCCGCCATTGCACAAGTCTTCACCGCCATGCTTTGCCACTTGAAGTTTGGTCTGTTCATCTTCTTTGCATTTTGGGTGCTTGTCATGACATGGTTCATCAACAAGTATCTACCAGAGACAAAGGGAGTGCCAATTGAAGAAATGACCATTGTGTGGAAGGAGCACAAGCACTGGAGCAAGTACTTTGTAGAAAAACATGACTCCGAGGTGGCTATGAAGGCAACATCATTGAGCCACTGAAATTGCGAGGACTCCAATTTTGCGCATAATCCTTTCCTTTGATTTTATTTAGGATGAGTTTGGTTGGATGTTCCTGAGTCTACCTACATGGAATTTTCTTTCCCTTTTTCTTTGAGACTATCTCTTCCATAAAATTTATTTCTTGTTTTGTTCATATTGTTAGTTTCCATTTTGGTTCTGCATCTGTGTATGCCGTATGGCCCCCCCTTTTTCTTTTTCTTTTTCTTTTTTTAAATGAATGATAAATATCTTCTCTTCCAAAAAAAAAAAAATGATAAGATATTTGGACTTTGATCCAGCTCTTGTCTCTAAAGCCCACGCTGTTACAAAAGTTTCAAGTCTAACCTAATCTTCTTTCATAATGAGACTTGGCCATTCTAACTATTAAAGCCCAAATCAAGCCTTCTTTTATTTTTATTTTTTGAAATTGTGGGTCATTAAATGGATTTTGTCGGTTGATTTCTTTCCAATTAATTTTCCATTAGCCTGGGTTGGGGACGTAACATAATGAATGAGACTGGAACGTTGAGGCCAAAGCACGGTAATTAAAATATGATATAAACTGATATTATGGATCCCTTAAAAGGGTTTTACAAGTCCTGAAAGTCGGTGCGGTCTTCACGCGTTGTAGGACTTCCACTAAAACAGGAGCAATTTGTCATGAGAGTGGAGACCATTAATTTCCTGAAAACAACTTTCATGATATAATATTCAGGTGTATGTGTATATATGGATAAGTGATGTGAATTTTCCTGATTTTGATAATAACAGGATTACCTTGTCAAATACTCCATTCATCATCTTAATTCATAACAATAATTTTCAATTTCCCTCCCCCTTCTGCCACGCCATCCATCGCGCGTAGTGTCATGAAGCCGCCCAACTCCATAACAGAGTCTGAGGCTAAGGCTAAGGCTAAACCCCAGTCATGTTTGATAACATATTCAACTTAATTCATTCTTTTCTTTTATTAATTCCTCCCAAAAGCAGCGTGGACCTACCCATTAACATTCTTCCATTTGCATGATCCATTTATTTTTGGACTGTCGAAGTTTTCACAAGGAAAAGTTGTACTTATTTTTCATATACTTCGGAGCGAGTGTACTTAACCACTCAAATGATTAAAAATATTTTCTTGATTCTCTTATAATTTAAGTACTTGTTTAGTTAGAG